GAGAACTGAACAAAGCTGTCGACTCTCGTTTTCGATGAAAGGGACAGAAAATTGATTAAATACTGATATCGTTTCGTTTCATTTTGCTTTCAATGAATAGGTCACGCAATACTAAAATCATGATTTCACCGGGTTTCAACATTGAGGAGTGATAAACTCCCCCAGGGCATGCTAGTTTATTTGCGGTTCTCCCGGCATGCGTTGGCGGTTAACTCCATGTAAAAAGATCCAGGGGCGTTTGGTGATAACATAGTTCCGCTGGCAGATCGCATGTTGTGTAGATATGTGGGCATGGTCAATGCATCCTGATAAAATCTCGAACGAACTCCTGATTTTTTCACTAGTGGAGTGCGGGAGAAACGGAGTGAAACATTTTAACCAATGAGGACCATTTGTGCTCGATAGGGATGCTCACATTCGGCTCCATGGCAGTCAGGCTTTCTAAATAAATTCCGAGGTACCGACTTGGACCAATAACACGTAACACTTGTACAAAATGACAGGCTGTTTAAGTTCGTTTTGACTAATACATTCAAATTGCTTCATGGGAACCTTTTAATAAAACTTCATGTGCAGTGCCCCTGCGGATAGATCTTGCTGCATCTCCGCTGGTACTGTTCGATAAAAAAACCCAGTCTATGTGAATTAAAGACAAAAGCACGACAGGGCCAAGTGTCTCACACCACTGCCAAGGCAGTGAGAGTACAAGGTGACGTTGTGGAATGACGTTTGATTATAGAACTCAGTCAACCGGAACCATGCGATTACCTATGTGGTCTCCTAACGCTCGCTCGTCCTCGCTCTGCTACTGAGACCGGAGCAGGTCAAAACACTTGTGCAATACATCCTAGTTTTCAGTTTCCGTGTACACAGCAAAATCCACAGTATAAAACCAGATAAATCTTCTATTAAACATATATAAAAATGAAATCGGAAGCATAGTTTCCCCGTAACGAATTTGAATAAAGAAGCCAAAAACAGGTTTGCACAATGTATCCTGAATCATTTCGCTGCATCTGTACACGTGCATACTGCAGTCTATGTGATCATTAATATATGGTCAGTAAATAACAGAATTATAGGTGGAGAAAGATTGCGGTCAAAATTACTCACCAAACACATTTGTTACTAAGGTAGCCAGAGTGATAAGCCATTCACGATGTTTACACAGTTTGAGATGGTAATTTTGAATGACTAGTGCCTCGGCGTATTTCAGAACCTTGGTGCTGTTTGTGTTGTAGAGGATTCTGAACGCATCGCGCAGCATGACACAGTGTTTCATTTCGACCAGGTGTTGTGTGATCGACGAACTGAGTTTCCTACGCGTCATTGGTGACCTCATACTTCCGAAGTTTTCACTCATTGTTTTCTGAAGCCAGACCGGGATGTGCTCGGTTACTCGATAACGCAGTTGTCTCTCCGTTCTGCCGATGTAGATGGCCGAGCATCCACACTTGAACTGATAGATACAATTAGATTTGGCGTGGGGAGACTGCGGTTCTTTCACCGATGAAATGAAATCACATTTTTCAAAAGAACACCAATCATCCACGACATCAAACCCGTACTGCACGGATGGTTTTGTTTGTGCCAACCGAAAGCTTTCGTTCGGAATGGAAGCAATCGGTTTTTGAGATATCACAGAACTATTTGCTGACTGATATCGGAACAAATAACCCGTTTATATGTGAGGTCTTAATGGAACCTGAAATCTGTGCAACTCCATCAATGCCATTGATCACGATGTCTTCACTCGTCAAAGGTTTGAGCTACAAACGATATCTAATGCAAATGTGCATTCATCTTCAACCGTGTTTGGTGACTGGTGGCACATTTCCGTTGCCAAAACTCACTTTCTTGGGAAACAGTGGGTCCTTCTAAATATTCAGGTTGCTGTAAATAAGTTCGGACTGTAGAAATTGTGAAAAATTAGTCATTTCATAAACCATTCTCGGCAAAAATTTAATAAAAAATGCAATTCGCTAGATCTTTGTTTGAAAAAATTGTTATGAAGGCAAAGGAACGCTATCACCTGCCGATAAGGTGAAAAAGGACGAACCAAAATTCTCCATCAGCTTTCTATAAAGCAATAGGCACTCAATCCAATTTGTTTGAATGCTTTACCTGTCCATTTCTTAGCTGAAATCATTCATTCTTTCGTTCATTGGTTTACCCATTTTAAGTATTGATCTCAACGTACCTTGAGTCACATTGATTGCCTCTCCTCCATTCCGTGCTTCTTCCCGTGAATCATATTGATCAATTTCTGTAAAATCGTTAATTTCTTGAGGTATTCTGGCCAACATTTTGTCAAATCGTGTACCTGGTTCTAGTTAGAATGTTACTTATTGTATGCTGATTCACCCGTTAACAGGGTTAACGGTTACATAACAACATTGTTCATTAGGTTTTATCCCCTGTTACTACGTGTCAGTATTTTAAAGATTTGGAAAAGAATGATTTTTCTGTTTCTTACAGCCCGGGTACATTTAAATGTGGTTTAGACAAAGCCAACTAAAACAATAATAAAACATACAGTATGCACAGACCGAATCAGTCATCTCCGACCGCGGTGATAATCCAATCCCACCACTAGCTTTGCTGGTGTGTGGGCTACAACGAACCTCGCCGTGCTATAAATGTCTCTGCCTGTCGATCAAAAATACTATGTCTGCGAGAGTGTTCACGAGACGGTTGATTTGTCGTGTCGTCTGGGATGTAGATGGCGAATTTCAAGTAATGACTAAATTTGAGGAAAAGTACTTCTTTGCATTTCAATGGACGATAAGCATCTTTTTCAAATCATCTTTAAATGTGATTTAAAAGTGCATTATGGGAATGATTAGAGAAATAAGGAATTGTGTCCGATACGAAGAAAGGGATACATAAGACAGAAAGCTAATTTCACCTGAAGAGGTTGAAGTTGCTGAAAAGGGTATTACACTATTTCAGTTTACGTATTCACACGTTGAAATTCTTCATGTGATCTGTTTTTGTCTGATAAAATTGAAACAATCTACGGCCATTACTCTGCTGTAGCTACTATACTACTGCAGCAGAAGTAGTATAGTAGTTATAGCAGAGTAACGGCTGTAATTTGTTTCTATTTTATCAGATGTTCCTAAACACTGCGATCACATCTGCCTGTTAGTATATCAAATTGTTCCAATCTCTTACCGGAAAGATGGTTTCCCTTTAGGAACAACACAAATTGTACGAACGTAACTGAGATTATCTTTCGTCTTGTTTTAGAGTTTACAGGTTTTCAAAGATTTCTAAATGAATCATTTTCCAAATATGAAATGACTTCCCACCTATCAATGCATTCTCAACTATTGTCTAGCAGCCTGAAATCTTTAACTGAAAAAACACCGGTAGACCCGACCGTGTGGTTCGATAAGCCGGAAACACACTGCTGCGTAGAATTGACTGCTTTTCATTTGTATTTTTAGTCGAGGAAATTGTGTCCTTCCTCGGACACTCCTGAAAACTCGATCGTTCAGTTTATTTTGAATTCTTCGCATTTTTCCCGAAAACTCATACCTGACACGTTATGGTTCATTGAGTTCATTTTACAGTGACTAACAACAACTGCAACTTGCTTTTCACAATCAGCGAAAGGTCAAAACCAAATGGTTGAATTTGCACGGTAGAAATGTAGACAATTCGTGTGTATACGTCTGTATGTGTGTGTGTGAACAGACTCATTTGAGCGGTGATCACGCTTCCGTGTGTTTCCCGGGTATGTGAATTCCCTGGTAGTACGAATCACCAAACGGTTACATCAGATAAAAGTTTTGCACACTTTTCTGTATGATTGCGTCTCTGAAATTTTGACTTCAGCTCAAGCTGTTAAGTATATACAAATACCTCAATATTTTCCACTCCAGAAAGATATTATCTCGACATTTTCCCTCTAATATATAACATTGATATACTGTGTTTTTCACTTCTCTTATCCTATAGTCTTGGATTGATAGATACCCTATGGTTCTTTTATAATCGGGATTTGACTCGATTAGCACAGCTACTACTGATGTCATGGTTGTCTGTGTCCAAGTTGGAATAGCAATGAGCCTTGGTCAAATTATCAATTGTTGCATCATGCGGCTTGTGATTCTGCTATGATCAAAGACAAAGTTTTACCCTGTTGCACCCTGAGAACAAACTCTGATTCTCCCCGCTGGTTCAATTCCAAGTGACCTCGAATGACATTTGAAAGGTTATTTATTTGCCAATGTCGATTTTAAGTGAACCCGAAGAGCCCACTTCTAACAGATTAAGAAACGTCATCAATACGTTCGTGCATAAACACGCGTATCTTATGGGCAATGTTGAAAGAGCTTCAGTTGAGTTATAGTCTGCTAATCTATGACTCTGTTCTACCAACCATTTATTTAAGCCCCGTTTAACGAACCCCGAACTCGGAGCGCGAACTGATAAGACAATGAATATTGTGCTGTGTTGATTGAGAGATATTTCTGACGGTTTGAATTGGTATTTTAAATCCACACTTGGATGCGGAATGCGCGATTTTGTTTAGAACTAGTTCTACTCACGAGACCACGACCACCGCACCCACCATTTGTGAAATGATCTATCAACTCATCAAGACGAACGAAATCCAAAAATTACCATGGACTGATGAGTTCAGTTTGCAACGGAGGTATTTTGTCCATGGATCAATTGGATCACTGGCAAAATACCGCTCTGTCCAGAGTCACACAACCACTCTGATCGGTGTAATAAAGAAAAAAAACGTGCATATTTGTGTGTGTTTGTGTGTGTTAAATGTTATGCAGTGCTTCCGATTCACATCAGCGGTCTTTTATAAAAAAAACAATCCCTACAATGCACCAAAATCTGATGCACGACATTTAAATCTCACCATCAAACACCAGAAGTTTGACATTTGAATTTGAAATAAGAGAGAGATTTATGAAACTGTCTTACTTTCTTTCCTCTCTCTCTCTCAATCATTTCCCGCCACACTCGTGCAGCGCTTCTCATTGACGGCCACCTATAATCAACTTGCTGGACAAGTTCCGCCACCACTACCTGGTCCTCCATTCCCCGTCCCGGATTTGGTTCCAATCAAACGAAATCTAAAACGTCACTCAATTGCAAACGGTGCAGAACATGCAGCTATTGCCCGACAAGTTTTGAATGGGTCATTTATCAGCAAACCGCAGGTGCCGGATGTTTTCGACAATTCTCGTTTGGATTCATCCGCAGAGCAAAGGACACCCGCGGCACTCATTTGCACAACAACACCCACAACAACAACAACAACAACAACAACAACCACACCAGCACCGGGATCTGANTACTCGATGCCTCCTCCAAGTGCTCCCCCAACGGTCGCAGAAAGTATCACTGGTTCGGAATTTGAGAGTGTTTACAATGCCAATTGGCGGTCGGAGAACGACTCATCAAAATTTCGAGAAAGACTCAAATCGGACACATCCGGTACTCATCATAGCCAAGAAAGTTTGCTTACGGAGTTAGTTAAAAACCAGCCAGTTGATGGATCTTCACTCGTAAGTAATAGCTTGTGCGAGCAGAAACCAGTTCCCGACACAGCACGACCCATTCAAAATGGTACGATCACCAAATCCGCGCCGTGGATTAAACCAACTGCACGCAAATCGGCTGTGATCCCTCCAAAACCCACAACTCCCGAAACTCCTAGGCGAATTTCACTGCCTACCCGAGATGGACATTCCTCGAATGCGGAAGAAAATTCGAAACAAACGAGGAAACAACGATGGTCCGTGATTGAGCAACCCCCAAAAAATCGTGTTTCACAAGTTGCCAGTGCATGGGAGGAGTATTTTAATCCTTTTTCCAAAGGGAAGCGGGCACGAAGTATAGATCAGAAATCGCGCAGTTCAACCTCCATGGAACAACGCAAAAGAACCTCATTAATTCAACTGGACCAATCAGGCAAGGATTCTGTTTCAAACGCAGTATCCCACACCTCTTTGGAAAATATCGATCGTACCGATCAAACAACTCATGTTACAAGACATTGTATGAATGCCAGTAATGTTACGTTGAACGGTAATCACCAGAACTCTCATTCAAACAGTACGCTAAGTGTTTCTATCGCATCAAGCAATCGAGAACAATCCTGGGCTAGTTCCGATTCTCGCGATACTAAAAGGTCTGGATCGATTAAACAAAAGCCTACCAAACGCTCCAACTCCTCTTTTGCACAAATCCACAGCTCTGAACCCATTTCGTCCACATTTTCGTCTATCAGTTCAGTTGATGCGTTCGTTTTATTACCTGTAAAAGATCTCGTTGATGCCTATGTGCGTTGCAATGGGCCGACTGCTGTGAAGCATGTGGAGAACTTGAAACGTGATAGCTCACACGCATCGGATAGCACAGCAAAACAAACCCAAATGTTGACCGGGAGTCTTTCCAGTATTTCTGACTATGTCGCCCAAATTAGTCAGGCTTCTAGTTCAACCATAACAGTCAGTGATGCGGAGACTCCGACAGAGGATGAACCCAGTCGTCACCAACTAGTGGAACCTGTGAGTCCTCCGACTGATCAATCGAAAATCAGTCACACAGTCTTGATGACTCAGTCTACAATGAATGATCATGGTCCACGTTCTGAAATGGATATCTGTCCACAGCCACGTACATCTTCCATACGGCCTCGAAGCGTGAGCACACCGAACTATCCACGGCGTCCCTTGTCGGTGACCGTGACTAGACATCGAATACAGGCCACAACACCCAATAGTAGTAGTAGCAGTAAATCTAGTTCAAATGATTCGGTCGGGAAAGCCAGTCCACTTGTGCTGGCTAGGCACACAATGGCACAAACAGCAACAACACAAGCACAGCCGCAACCCACACACCAACCGTCACCTGAACAGAAGATAACAAATGGGCACGATACGACGGTGATTGGTCGCTACGATGTGCATACAATTGGGGCACACCAACTAAACGGCACGATTGCAGTTACGAACCAATCATGTGTGAACAAAAAGGTAGTACCCTCACAGTCGCTTAACACTGAGGCAGCCCAAGACCGGAATGAATCAGAAAGGCGTGATAGTTTTAGTCGGCGAAGACGAATAACTGTTCACAGTTTTCCCCGCTGGACGGACGCACTGAGGCCATCCACACAACCTCCGATCGCTGTGACGACCACCACAACCACCACNTTGGGGGACACACCGAAAGTTGAGCCTCGTGCGGTCTACACAACAAGACACTTTATTGATCGCAATCAAAAAGAGAAGAAAACGGTTGGATTCAAGGTAGCTAGCACACCAGAGAAACGTGTCCGGTCATTATCGGCCACCGGTGTGCCTTACGGTTCCACCAAACTATCAAACGGTGCCACTGAGCAGCAACATTTGTCTCAGTCTATACAAAACCAAATGGACTTGGCCGAACACTCTCCTCCGGTGAATGGAATTCAACCTTTTCGTGGAATGCGATCTCGTGGGATTTACAAACGGAATGCTAGCAATCGTTTTCATTCGGATCTCAATCGAGGTGGATTGACCAATCAGCCTAGTTCGCATCATCACATACACAGTCTTTCACAGTCCATTCGGGCTCGACAACCGGAACCGGCCACGGAACGAACCAGTGCTCTTTCCCCCGCAGCACAACGTTACGAGCAACATATCCTGGCCCAACGCCAAAATCCGACCGAGGTTCACCCAATATGGCGCTCAAATATGAATTGGTACGGACGAGAGCGTAGCATGCCAGACCCGGTCGAAGAACGAATCACTCCGACAAAACGCACAGCTTTTGTTCTGTCAACACCAGCTCAAAATAATTTGACTCAACATTTTGAGCCCCGCGATCCGCTGTTCGACCCGCAACAATACAAACCACAATCCACTTCCCGAACAGCGGAGCTGCTGCAACAACCGAACGAACAACAACAACAACAAAATCAGCAAGAGGAACAAGAAGAAAAGCACGTAGACCCCTCGCAGACTCATGAAGTGAATGAAGAACTTATAGATCCGGAGGTGTGGCGGGATAAGCTCGGGTTGATTACACGATGGCAACATGAAGTGAACACTGCGATGCAAGCCGGGGAGACCGATGTGGATGTTCTATTGCGTTCACCCCCAGTCTCCCCTTCAATCCAACAAAATTACAGTTGGCCACAATTGTTTCAAGATTCCACGGCCGAGTTCGATCGCGTCATTGAAACGACTCGAGAAGAACCGATTTATCGTCAACATGCTATTGTTCGTAGTGGTGATGGTGGTGGTGGTGCCGTTGGAGGAGCAGGTGGGGCCTCCGGAGGATTCTCTTATCAACCACATGAGCTAATGCCCAGTTGCCAAGTGACCATTCATAAGACTCCACCCATAGCTCACCGTCATGTGGCACCTCCTGTCAACAGTCGTCCGTTGCAAATGGATTATGATAATGCTCCGGTTACCGAATCACCCATATTGAACGGTCATGCGCGAGTTACGGAGACCAGCATACCCACACCAATTGTTTCGACCTTTAAAGTGGAAAGAAATCTACCCGTTGGAAGCGAGGTAAGTGAATCTTAAGTCCTAGATTTATAGCGGGTTTTCCGGAAAGAGAGAACAACTGGATGTAGGATGCATAAATTATTGCTCAAAAGGGGATGGTTAGAACACACAAAGTCTTCGGCACTTTTTTTATAAACAGGACGTAGATAAAAGTAAATTTATCACTTGGAAAATTTTTATTTTATTGAACCACATGCGCTGCTTGGTCTTGCAAAGGAATAATACATCTTAATTAAATAAAAACTGCGTAATCCTATTGGCTACCAAATATTTTGTAATTGAAAAAGATACATAGTATATATCTATATATCTATCTATATATAGTATCACTGGCCTATGTTATTGGGTTACTTTCGAAAAGAAAGTGTCCTAACCAGGATAAGTTCTGTGTGAACATTAAAATGTGTAGACAATGGCTTCTCCAAAACAACTGCTCACAGAGATAACAGAACAAATGGGGCAGTAATGCAACGTAGAGCAAAGATATCATCTGTATATCACTTTTTTAGTGAAGTTAATAGCTTCTTATACAATGCGTGATAAAGAAGCTGAACAGTTACACATATTTGGAGCACATCACATCTACAGATTGTGGATAGAGATACTCAGTTTTTCCTTCCGATGTTTTCTATGCAACCTCCAATGCAACGTTAGCGCACCGACCTCCCCCCCCCCCGAAACACCCCCATCACTATCTTCAAAAGGACTAAGTGCTATATAAAAAATACCAATTTTATAGTTATACAAGAAATAAAAGGTTTGAAAGAGGTTGTAAGATAATACTCATGGAACACTCAAGCTAATAACACTATGGCCGCCTCAGGTTTTATCTGGTGCACAGGAGTGCTGTTTGAACAAAATCTCACCACCCGTAAGGGATAATCAACCCCGTCTTTCATCGAATTTGCTCATACCTGCATTTAGATCATCTGTCTCAAATCTATTTTCCGGCCAGCGTCTTTCAATCAGTGCGGAATAAAGATGCGATCATAAGGTGGTTTTAGTGTCACGATCCAAAGGGATCAAAAGTGGAAAACACCTTATCGTGAAAACAATTAACTACTCATTTGATTTTCGAAATCCATATGCGTTATAACTGCTAAGGCAACGATACAACCTTTATCTTTATTGCTCTCATTGGAGTTCGAAGAGGAAGTTCAAACTACAATAATTGAATTATCGGGAATTGCAGTAATAGGGCATGTAACGGTCACGTGATTCTTTTGAATAAATATCAGAAATCTCATCTGGGGAATGGGGTTAATCAAAAAAATGCGTTTTCTTTACCGACAGGTTGTTGTTGGATAAACTGCTTCGAAAGTTATGGAACGAATTTGTCATGCACCATCGCACGCATTACCGACCATGATTCAAAATTTGATTTTTTCGGTCGACTTACAACTTATTTACAGGTTTAACAGAATTAACCTATGTCTCCTTCAAGTTGAGACGTTACTAATGATAGGAATCCGTCAAGTTGACGCGTGGTCACGGCAATACGAAGGTGATGTGTCTCAAAAAGATAAAGTGCAGCTGTTTGGTAAACTGTGTTCTCCATGTATGATTGTTTTGACATCTGCGAGATGGTTTCTCACTTATTGAAATGCAAGTCCTAACGCAAGACTACCACTTGAACGATTAAGGCCTGAACTCTCACAAGGTGATTTATTGTGATAGTAGCTATCAGGACGGAACTGCGAATGCTGAAGGTTCGAAAACATAGCTACTGCACCAGAAAAGTAATTCAACAGCTCAAGAGTATGAACTACAATGTAAGAAAGCCGATTTATATAAACTTGAATAGGGCAGACCGGGAAGGGAACTAGTCCTTGAAAGCCGTCAAGTAAAATACCCAAAAAATAAAACAGTATACAATATTAAATCAGATAACGTATCAGGATTAACAATCAGTTATTCCGGTTTTCACTTCAGGTAGTTCATTTGAAACGCCCTAAGACTATTTTATGCATCTATCTATCTATTTTTGTAACTGGTATTCTCCTTAGCGTAGTAAGAGAAAAATGGTAGGTAACACTATAAAAGCATAAGTTGTTGTCGGTGTGGGTTGTCTACTAGGACACAATCGGATATCGACCAGCATGGCAATCATTTGGTCGATTGGACCACACTGAACTCTTAGAATGCATAGAATGCAAACTATGAACGCAAGTGATGTACACGCAGTTTGGCAGTTTGACTACTGATCACCCCCTCGCACGTATGAAACCGTGACCAATCCCATATGAACCTATTCCAGATAGTTGGGGCATTTTAAATTCACTTTTCCTCTTCCCCCAGTCACATCCAATCCAAAAGTAGTTTGAAGCTACATTCACATGTAAGACGGTCAGGCTTTCTGCATCTCCTGTTTGACACTAACCTAATCCCGCTCGTCATTCCGAGGCAAAACAATTAATTAAGTTGCCTTTCTGGAACAATTAAATTATAATACCAGATTTTCTTATCTGCTGGACCAACAAGGATATTGAATAATCGCTAGTTCCAACCCTCCAGTGCAACTGCTTCTCTCAATCTAGGGAATAGGCATGTATCTAAATTTAATTGCTCCTTCCCTCTGAAAGCATTAGACCCATACACGGATTTCCTTGACAAATTCTGCTACCTGTCAATTAACGTTGCGTCTTACATCGAATCACATTTATTGGTACACACACCGTGCTAAATGTGAATGATAGATCATGGAGAAACAGGCCAGTGTGTCCGATCCCTCTTCCCATCTTCACTGACGTTCGGAGCTGTTGTTCTATCCAATAATTGGGAGCACGGAATAAGCAATCGCGCTAAACCAGTGCCAACGAAACAAACCGTAATAGAACGTAATCAAACTCCCCCAGTACCATTACTAATGTGTTTAGTGTATGAGAAGGGAAACCCTCTGATTGTGATGAGATACAACAGTCAATAAGTGTTTTTCTACAGAAAACGCATGTCGTCCAACGGATATGATTATTACAGGAAGTTTCAGTCTTCCTACATATTACTTACTCCCCTGCTTCACAATCGAAATAACTCACAGCGCGCGGAGGTGCGGGTGGGGTTGCGCTTGTGAAGTGGGCGGTGGGTGGATGAGTTGGAGTACGCCACTACTGCTGTCATGTTCAGTAAATTATAAAACGCCGAATAACAAAGAGGAAAACTGGCGATACTACCAAACTGGAAGCTCTTTCGTTTATGCCATACGGTTTATCAATACAGAAAGAAGACCAATGTCTTGAGATGTTCACATTCCGTTCAGCTTTGTTAATCGCTGACTCGATAGAAGCAGGCACGCGTACAGCACAAGACGTTCACTTATGGTGATTGAACGTGTACAATCAAAAATACTACTATATATAGAAATGGGAAGAGGAACTGCGCGGTGAATGGATTAGTTGTATCAAAAACATTTGTGCACATAATGTCGGATGATGTAATCCAATAGGCAGCGCCTCACTAATAGACGACACTTCAGAACTGTGATTGCGTAATAGTGGTTTTAGATCTATTAGCATATATAATCCTCGATTTTGGCAATCCTTTGCAGGATTTAACGGTTTTCTGCCTATGTATGCGTCATAGCAACTGCAGGTGAACTGGTGTACAATTTTTGAGATGCAACTGGATTGATAGCCATGTTTACGGTTGTCCAGACGAATTCCACAAGTAGGGGTCTGAGCTGAGCAGCTGGTAATGTGCGGTCTAGAGCTGACCTCAATTTATGGCGCACATCATTGTAAATATGGTCGCCTCTGAAAGCAAGTTTTACGTAGATGGCCTTTTGATAACGCTTTCAATTGGGTTACAGTTCGGGAATGGTCCACAGAGAACGTCTATAAACCTTCTCTGGAAAACATCGGTTAGCAATGTTCTCCCCAGGAAATTCTCTTCTTCCTTTGGTGTATCTCAGGAGCAAATATTTCTCACACGGTGAAATAATCTGCGATGGAGAAAATTAACCGAACTGTCAGCTGGACGATATTAACGTGGCAATGATCACGTGGCACACGAAACGAACAGTTGGGCACCCAATTTATTGTGCTGCGCAAATCCGTTTTCAATGAATTACGATATTGAAAAAGATCTGTGCTGTTTGTAGTTCCATGGTGCACACAATAATTTCTGTCCACGTTAGACTGTGCCCCCACATGTAAAACGTTCCGTCCAGCGCACACATGCGTCAAGTCGATGAAGGTGAGAGGAACCCTCGGCAATTCATTTTTTTCATTTCGTTCAGTCCTTTTTTATAGGTAACGGAGAACACACTGTCAATTCTCAAATTGTTTTGCCTGAGTTTTGACATCACTGACTGCCAGCTTAATCGAGCATGACATTTAGAATAGTCGAAGTCATTGAACTGGAGGCAGAAAAGCAATTTAGTGAATCATGAATCATGCTGAAATTATTTGAAACATAATTGAGCTTGAGCTTCTTTCCAGACAAACTAAAGTCCCAAATAAGTGTCCCAAATATGTGGCTTGAAGCTTTTTCCATTGTAAAGGCCACGGTGATTTGATTTAGTCCGGTAGTACTCAGAACTCACCGATGTAAATGCTTATGTCCATAATGAAAAAATACCATTCCACTTGCCTAGTATTGCATTAGGGATTACTCTACGAGGTGAGGGTTTGACATGAAGATGTGAGGTCACAATGAGAACTTAGTCTCGGCTGAACAACACCGCTCATCACGAAATATAGAAATACCCTTTTCAATGTTCATTTATAATTCTACAGAAACGGAAATTCTTTACTTGCTATCAATGGAGAAGCAATCATTTCCGTGATTAGTAATTAAGGAAGAAGTGTAAAATTACCTAAAGACTGTCATAAAATGTTTAATAAGTACTTAGACACACCAGAATTCAACATCGGCTTATAATTAAGTTTTCGTGTAGAGCTGTCAACCGTGGCAAATAAAATTAACTGTCCAATTTCACTGTTATTGTCCACAGCATAATAATACATAAGTAAAGTTGAAAAACGCGGTAGATTGTCGGTATTTCT